AGCAGACGGTGTCGTGTTGCTTCCCGCCACAATTTACGGAAATCCCGCAAGAAATGAGTCAGCCACATTCCTATGCCATCCGAAACTTGAGGATTAGTCAAGACAGCATCAAGATACGCAACTTAAAATCTTTCCAATATTTTGTTTATAATTTGATTGTGAGTTATTCCTATGAATATGTTATGGTCATGTCTGTTAACGTCATTGGTCTGATTATTCATGGTATTCACACAGAGGTTATCTGCAAGTGTTATGCTTTACATATTAAGTTAGTAATATTTATCGAGAGATAATTCAATAGTGGCATTATTTCTATAAAAATTGCTTAAAATCAATAATAATGATAATTAGTTATATGTGAGATTATTACCTGTGCTCTCCGGGACCCCGGGGTATATTTTTTCTGTTTTTATGTCTTTGCTTTCTGAGAACCTCCCGAGTTATCTTTTGGGTAATTATGTATGTTCTCTCAGGAAACCCGAGTAATCTTTTTCTGTGGTCTCTCTCTGTTCTCTTTTGAAATCCTGATTATCTATTTATATGGATAGAATTGAATACTAGTATAATTCCTGACTTGAAACTAAGCTTTGTTGATGGAATTCTGCAAGCTATATCGAAAATATGATGTGGTTATGACTGTTCTGTGCCTACTGGAAACTTTCCATTGTTATAGCTTTGCCTAACGTGACCTGGGTATAAATTCAAAGGTTATTGCTATTTTCAAGATAATCTGGGTATATCTTGCCATGGTTATGTCTTTGCCCACTGGGAACTGGATATATATTTCATGGTAATGTCTGTGCCTACTGGAAACCGGGTATATCTTTCCATTGTTATAGCTCTGCCTAACGTGACCTGGGTATAAATTCAAAGGTTATTGCTATTTTCAAGATGATCTGGGTATATCTTGCCATGGTTATGTCTTTGCCCACTGGGAACTGGATATATATTTCATGGTAATGTCTGTGCCCACTGGAAACCGGGTATATCTTTCAATTGCTATTGCTTTGCCTAACGTGACCTGGGTATAAATTCAAAGATTATTGCTATTTTCAAGATAATCTGGGTATATCTTGCCATGGTTATGTCTTTGCCCACTGGGAACTGGATATATATTTCATGGTAATGTCTGTGCCTACTGGAAACCGGGTATATTTTCAATTGTTATGGCTTTGCCTAACGTGACCTGCGTATAAAGTCAAAGGTTATTGCTATTTTCAAGGTGACCTGGATATATCTTTTTATGGTTATGTCTTTTCCCACTGGGAACTGAATATATATTTCATGGTAATGTCTGTGCCTACTGGAAACCGGGTATATCTTTCAATTGTTATGGCTCTGCCTAACGTGACCTGGATATAGAAACAAAGGTTATTGCTATTTTCAAGATGATCTGAGTATATCTTGCCAAGGTTATGTCTTTGCCCACTGGGAACTGGATATATATTTCATGGTAATGTCTGTGCCTACTGGAAACCGGGTATATCTTTCCATTGTTATAGCTTTGCCTAACGTGACCTGGGTATAAATTCAAAGGTTATTGCTATTTTCAAGATGATCTGAGTATATCTTGCCATGGTTATGTCTTTGCCCACTGGGAACTGGATATATATTTCATGGTAATGTCTGTGCCTACTGGAAACCGGGTATATCTTTCCATTGTTATAGCTTTGCCTAACGTGACCTGGGTATAAATTCAAAGGTTATTGCTATTTTCAAGATGATCTGAGTATATCTTGCCATGGTTATGTCTTTTCCCACTGGGAACTGGATATATATTTCATGGTAATGTCTGTGCCTACTGGAAACCGGGTATATCTTTCCATTGTTATGGCTTTGCCCAACATGACCTGGGTATAAATTCAAAGGTTATTGCTATTTTCAAGATGATCTGGGTATATCTTGCCATGGTTATGTCTTTTCCCACTGGGAACTGGATATATATTTCATGGTAATGTCTGTGCCTACTGGAAACCGGGTATATCTTTCCATTGTTATTGCTTTGCCCAACATGACCTGGGTATAAATTCAAAGGTTATTGCTATTTTCAAGATGATCTGGGTATATCTTGCCATGGTTATGTCTTTTCCCACTGGGAACTGGATATATATTTCATGGTAATGTCTGTGCCTACTGGAAACCGGGTATATCTTTCAATTGCTATTGCTTTGCCTAACGTGACCTGGGTATAAATTCAAAGATTATTGCTATTTTCAAGATGATCTGGGTATATCTTGCCATGGTTATGTCTTTGCCCACTGGGAGCTGGATATATATTTCATGGTGATATCTGTGCCTACTGGAAACCGGGTATATCTTTCAATTGCGATGGCTTTGCCTAACGTGACCTGCGTATAAATTCAAAGATTATTGCTATTTTCAAGATGATCTGGGTATATATTGCCATGGTTATGTCTTTGCCCACTGGGAACTGGATATATATTTCATGGTAATGTCTGTGCCCACTGGAAACCGGGTATGTATATTTCATGGTAATGTCTGTGCCTACTGGAAACCGGGTATATCTTTCCATTGTTATGGCTTTGCCCAACGTGACCTGGGTATAAATTCAAAGATTATTGCTATTTTCAAGATGATCTGGGTATATATTGCCATGGTTATGTCTTTGCCCACTGGGAACTGGATATATATTTCATGGTAATGTCTGTGCCCACTGGAAACCGGGTATGTATATTTCATGGTAATGTCTGTGCCTACTGGAAACCGGGTATATCTTTCCATTGTTATGGCTTTGCCCAACGTGACCTGGGTATAAATTCAAAGGTTATTGCTATTTTCAAGGTGGCCTGGATATATCTTTTCATGGTTATGTCTGTGCCTACTGGGAACCGGGTATGTATATTTCATAGTAATGTCTGTGCACATCGGGAACCGAGTATATCTTTCCGTGGTTATGACTGGGCCCACCGTGACCTGCATATAACTTTAAAGGGTATTGCTGTTCCCAAGGTGACCTAAGTATATATTTCCATGGTAATGTCTCTCTGTTCCCAATGAGAGCCGGGTATATCTTTCCATGGTTATGTCTTTGCCCACCGTGACCTGTATATATATTACATTCCATTGTTCCTTCACATCGGGAGCCGAGTATATCTTTCAGTGGTTTGTTCCCACCAATAACCAATTTATTCAAAGTAAATATTCAGCATAAGACTTCCCGATTGCCATAGTCCCGTAGACATGATCACGAACACTATATAGGCCTTTAAAACACCAATCCGTAACAATCAATGTGATATAAGGGGTCGATGGAAGGATGGTCTAAACCGTTGGTTTTGGATCGCTACGACCCGGGTTCGATTCCCGCATTGGGCACTTTTTTCTGATTAAAAAAAATGCTCCAATGGCCCCCGATTCTTGCAAAAGTCCAACCCCACCAGCGAGTGCAAGTAACCAAACGGGGCTCTGGCACATTTGTAAGTGCAAAGTCGAACTGCTTTTCACATGTGTAAACATGTGGTGCACTTACAGTAAAAGCAATCGCTAACTACCCACCATGATTATCATGGCATATACCACGTGTACTAGGGATGGGCAATAATAATAATGTGATATAGGAAGTATATAATGTAAACTCTGGTAAAATTCTGGCATAGATCCAACAACAATGATACAAAAATTCAGACCATAAAATCCCATTAATTAATCTCACATGTTTAATTAAACAAATAGAGGCTGGAGGCGTCGCTGAGAATTTATTGTTACACCATTGTTAAACGCTTTATTTAATAATATTATCTATTATAAAGCTTGTCATAAAACTTGGTTTTTGTGTTTATAAAATGATGTATGCATTCATTCACGCATATATTTGCTTGTATTAATCAGTTCAAGCATATATATTCGTTAATAGAATGATTTTTAGTTTTGTTGAAATATAACAATAGGATATGATATTAATAACAATTTTATAAAAGGTACAAGGTACTTGTAGCAAAATATAACGACCATTGAAGAGGGCTGTCTTATTAGACTTTATTCGCAAGCTCTTTCGGGCGCATGGGTCCTCTTACAAGCTTTACAATGACAGAAAGAAAGCCTGTAGAAGGACATCCGAAAGCTTGCGAATAAAGTTCTTATAATATACCCCACTTCAATGGTCGTTATGTTTTGCTATTTTTATTCGAAGAGTTTAATTCAGTCGACAAGGTACTTGTATTTCCATTAAAATTTCGGCACAGGTATGAAATAAAGACTCGTATTAGAGACCAAAAAAATTATAATTCAAGACCTAAGAAAGGAAACCTCCATGCGCATCAATACAATGGTATAGGTGCGCATTGACGTCCAACTTTTTTTCAAACCATTGCAGAATTTCAGGGATTTTTATATCATAATTCCTCATGCCACGAATTTCTGATCTTCAAATAACATTAAGAACCGTTCAGTTTATATTTTATCTTATAGATTGGCGCTCTGTCACTGGAAACAACTTAAAAAGGTTTCTGATATTCAAATTAACGATTGCGCGCGCATTTATAGGAAGAGCCTACACCTATATGATTTAGACATTTTCATATTCAATATAAAGCTCATAAAGGCCATAGAAATGGTGTTTTCCACCAAAACAATGCTCCTGCACACAAGTTGATGGATAATTGCGCTCCAGGGGCCTGGGTTATCCTTATTTCTCTTATTTGATAGATACAACGGCTAAACTGCACGAATTTCCTGTTCGAACTGTTCAAATTCCTACCTAATTACCATATTTACCTCCCAGTAACTACTTCAACCTGTAAAAATGACTTAGGATCGGCTTATTTTAGGATATAATGAGGTGATATAAGGCCTTCAACAAAACCTAAATAATGACTCTAGAACATCGCTGGTCATAGTTTGTAGATATCGAAGATGTTGATGGTATAGATAAATATACATTTACCAAGAATAATCTCTTTCAAATGTCGTTTTACAATCATAAGCTGCATTGTATTGTATTATAAATTACTTTATATAATATTTACGAACGGAAAAATATGTCCAGGGTAGCCTAGCGGACATGCATCTGCCTGGTAAGCGGAACACTGTGGGTTCGATTCCCATCCCTGGATACTTTATTTTTCCGTTTATCATTACTCTTCAAAATTCATCCTTTCATACTTCATCCCTAAGGTTAGAAATAATCGTTATTTCTCCTTAAAATAAATTTCGATTTTTCTTTTAAAAGAAACACATGCGGAATAATTTTCAAATGTCGTTTTACAATCATAAGCCGTATTATATTGAATTAATAATCTCTTTGTTTTTCTTCGAATAAATTACACGTTTATTTTATCATATAAAATAACCTACTCTGTCTTTATTTTTTAGAAAAAATGTTTTTAACTTTATCTTTTCGCTCACATTACTTATTAATTTATTTTCTTCGTATAAGAATTAGGTCTTTTTGAACAATTGAAATGAGTCTTATTTTTGTTTTCTCTCCTTTCTTACTTTCTTAGATCTTTCAATATTGGAAATTTTAACTTCCAATGCAGGTTTTATGTTTTAACCTTTGGTATTTTTAAAAATAGAGAACCCCCTCCCCGAAAGAGCTCTTTTCAGGAAGATATATGTGATTGATATTCGTAGTGTGTATATGAAATAAATAGAATATAATTATATTTTAAAACAGTCTGAAATTTAGTATGGCCTTACTTACAATAGAAATGTATTCGTCACAGTGATCATCGGCTCTGTTTTCAAGAGGAAGTTTGTACTATAGCATGTACGTCATGGTTTTATAGGATTTGGAGGCGTCAACAGTCAAACCTTCAGTGTTGGAAAGTTTTTTTTTAAATGTCTTCATAGCAACTTGATATAAACGTCGCTTGGCAACGCTAACCCTAGCGCGTGTCGGCTGCAGCAAAAAGTTTCTGAGAATTGAACTGGGTTGACAGGTCCCTCAGTTTACCAAGTTGTTAGTTTAAGGCCATTTTTAGGACACTAGAATCCTGAATCAATAGTCAATAATGCCGCAACAGGGTCAATGTATGGCCCAATTAAAAGTCCCTTGCGTTCGTTTTAGACAGGTGTTGTTAGCTGCTTCTTTTTGGTTTGATCAACCCCTTGTGGTGTTAAAGAATTTTTGTATCTATAAAATTCTTAAAATCCTATCGCTAATTATAGATATCCTTTCTCGGAAAATATGAAAATATCGTTAAAATCAATATTGTCTGAAATCTCTCGAGCTATACATACATTCTTCTGTATAAAGGTAAATAAAACTCCACCGATATACCTTATGGTAATAGAACAGATTATAATTATCAGCCATATAATATAAAAATAATGATTTAGACATTTATAAGGTATTCAAGATAATATTAAGAATATAGTAATAGAAAAAATGAAATTCAGTGATAGGTACTCATTGCTCTCATAATTAAAGCATTAGGGAACGGTTCTTTTTAGAAAATTAATATCAAATTATAAAATAAATACAAATAACAGCTCTCTTTATGTAGATCTAACACCTGGATACTGATTGACAAGAATTCAGACATAACCTATTAGCTTTCAACGTGTAATTTGTGACATAAATGAAAAAGATGAGCTCTAGAAATGAAATTTTGTTGTGAAATATTATAAAGAGAGCACATTTAGAATACCAAGATAGATTGATTACTGATCGATTGCCCAGCATTTCAAGATTATAGAATGAAGAATGAACTAGTTGTTTGTGAACTTAACGATTTGATTTCCGATAAAAAAATCATATTTAAAGTTCAATTCATTTTGTAAATACATTCTAAACTTTCTACAAAATCTGGATCTCTAATGTTTTCATGCGTTGAATAATGTAAATAACTTATGTAAAAAAACTTTTCTCCTTGTTTGGCGCAAGTATCCCTTGCGGGATATAGCGCTTTGGAAATAAAATTATTGAAATTGTAATTAGGTAACATTCAGTATTCTTGCAAAATAGGGAGTAAGGGAAGAGGAATCAAGCTACTAGAGGATATCTAGGCTCTGATTTCCGAGATCACCATCCATCAGAAGCTAAGAAACTGAGCTTACCAATATAAGAAATCAATTAGATAATTTCTAAAGTAATATTGTTTCCAAATTATTACATTCTAAAAGAGTGTGTATCTCTCACTTTAAAATGTATTAGAATATTTAATATTTTATCTCAGTACACAACGTAATGGTGGTGAAAAAGAATATGCTATAACTTGTAATTCGGCTAATTCGACCGATTTCATTGGTCCTCTCGTAAGATGCTATGGATTTGAAGCCGTCTCTGTACTGATGAGGGCCATTGCAGGCAATCCCGTGTGGATCTCATGGAATAAAGCCCGCCATGGATTAATAGGGGCTTGAGAAGGTAAGGTTTGGAAATTGGCCATATAAGAGGGACAAATTTACATATTTTTCTTCAGAAAGGATTTTGATGAAAAAAATAAAGACTTTCTATCCTCAATATAAATACTACTATCAATAATATAAACAAAGTGTTTTCTCTTGAGTCTGTACACTCAAACATACTGTCGAAATTTTTTGTATTAAACCTTTACTCGTATATAGAGTAAGGCTTCAAAATTGATCAGATGAAGGACAAAGTTACATATTTTTCTCCAGAAAACAATATGATAAAAAACCAAAGACTTTCTATCATCAACTATCAATAATATAAACAATGTGTTTTCTCTTGAGTCTGTACACTCAAACATACTGCCGAAACTATCTGTATTAAACCTTTATTCATATATAGAATAAGGCTTCAAAATTGATCTGATTAAGGACAAAGTTACATATTTTCTCCAGAAGGATTATGATAAAAGAAATCAAAAAATTTCTATCATCAATCCGAATACTACTACAAACAATATAAATAATGTGTAATAATACATCAGCGGGCCATCTGTTATTAGAATTGGAAACTATTATAGACGTGTATGATTCTTTTCCAAATTAAACAATTTCTACTGTCCTTACTGCAATGAAAAATTAATGGGAGGACCGTAGAAATTGTTTAATTTGGAAAAGAATCATAAGCGTCTATTATAGTTTCCAATTCTAATATATAATGTATAAAACAACACTTGAAGTTACACCGCATGAGTTTCTTTTCAATGAAAAATCAGAATTTATTTCAAGGTGAAATATTAACTATTTCTAACCTTTTTAGATGAGGTATGAAAGGGTGAATTATGAAGAGTAATGATGAACGGAAAATAAAAGTGTCCAGGGATGGAAATCCCGTTCATCATCACTCTTCATAATTCACCCTTTCATACCTCATCCAAAAAGGTTAGAAATAATCAATATTTCACCTTGAAATAAATTTTTATTTTTCATTGAAAAGTAACTCATGCGGTGTAACTTCAAGTGTTGTTTTACAATCAAAAGCCGCAGTGTATTATATAAATAATGTATGTTTGCTTGAACCATGTACGCTCAAACATACTTTCGAAACTATCTGGATGATCCAAGAAATAAGATGAGTTCTAGGAGGAGTCGCTGCCATAGTGTAAATCTAAGAATATGTAAATATAGAAACGAAATAACGCACCAACGAGCATATCTTGAGTTACCAAAATGTTTGAGATAAACATATTAACAATTTTTACCATCATTTCTACTGATGATAATAAACGTTTGCTAAACCAATATAATTCGAGTAAACATTCATTAACTCAGGCAGATATCGGGCGAAGCCAGTCTATTCAGCTAGTGTCGAATATCTCTCAGACAGATCATTATAGATGATTATCCTTATCAATGATTATAATGATTTGTTATCTGTTTACTTTAGGAATATCCGTTATTACGGCTTTTATAAATAACTATTGCGTTAGGGTTTTTATTTTTATAAGTGTTGTTGTTTCTTAACCCCTTGTGTAAAGATTACACGCATTCCATGATTTCATGATCTTATGGAATGGGGTATAGGGGTGCAGCTTTCGTTGATCATGGCACCATGGCACACTTTGATGAAAGTCTGACTTTGCCTGATTTTTATAAGTAACTATATTATAGGTCTTAATTTTTATAAGTAACTATATTAAAACCTCTGTTTGTGTGTACGTAGCTAATACACACGCACTGAATAATATTATAGTATGAACCTTTTGAAAAAGAGAGGTAAAATTTCTGTTAGAATCATAAAATCACTTAAAAACACTATAACAGCTGCGTTAATAATTCAACAATATCTCTTTCACTACTTACAACATGTTTACAAAAAAAAACCTATCAACAAAGAGTTCAAATTACAATGATATTTAAAACAATAGAAAAAATAAAAGATAAGTGGGTCAGGTGTTGATATTAAAAATAAAGAAGACATCTCCTGACCACGAGCACATGTGCTTTTTAGATGGCCGAGCACCATCTAGTGGAGCAAAAATAAACTAAACGTTTATTTAGCTTGCTCCGAGATATTTGGCCATTCCAATTTCTTGATAATTTCGTGGATGGCTTTTCTTGATTTATCAAGAAATTGGGTTGGCCAAATATCTCAGAGCAAGCTAAATAAACGTTTAGTTTATTTTTGCTCCACTAGATGGCGCTCTGCCATCTAAAAAGCATGTGCTCGTGGTCAGGAGATGCCTTCTTTATTTTTAATGATATTTAAGTAAAACAATTTTTCTGGCAATTGTATCGGTCTGGTAGATCAATTTGGTGAACCCGCTAGGAGGTTTCACTATTGATGATCCGAACCTTCCGAATATTTTCTATCTTACTTTTATAAATTATAGAAAATTGTTTTTAAATATAATAAAACAAAATAATTAGCTCTATAATAGTGATAATTAAATTCTCATTTTCACAAATGTATGTTTTCAGGCCTCATTGTTGTGAAATATAATACACAATATAGAAAGCGTCGGTGAACGAGTGGGTAACTCCCTCGATTCCCGACAGCCATGAACCGGGATCTAATCCCGCGTTAACATTTTGTTTATTATGTAAATAACCTTCACATATTATTCATTGTTACAATTATCATAAACTAGGTTGCTCTTGTTGAGCGTAACCTAATAAAGTGATTTTGGAATACACAATATTTCTTATTTGACAAAAAAAGACCTATTTTAAAGACCATTTCTATGTAAAAATCACA